GAGAGAGAGAGAGAGAGATTGTGGGTTACTTCATGTTATCTCAGTCTTGTTTGTGAAACTCGAACAAATTTGTTCTTCCTGATTTTTGTGCTCACTGCAGAGTTAATGTTTGAACTCTCAGACTGACTTCAAACCTGAAGATGAGTGATCGTGAGGAGGAAGAGGAGGACCGAGCAGAGTCTCCAGTTTCCAGCTATCTGTCTATGAAGAGTGACCGGTCCAAAGGTGAACCTGAACCCTCAGACACACAGTAAGAGAACTTACTTTATTAAGTCTCATTTAATAAAAACTTCATTTGATAGTTGACAGTTAAGAGTGACAGAAAACAGAAAATGATTAACATATAGAAATGAAACTGTCTGGACTTGAACCTGTGACATCACTGTTACATGCAATGTGTCTTAGACTGCTGGTCTACCAGAATTTATGTTTTATCTATTTAGACCAATTCTAACCTTAGTTCAAACCTGATTAACTCAAGCTAAGCTGTCAGAGACATAATCAGCTCTCTTTAATGGAAGGCTTTTATTGTGAAGCAGCTGCAGGAAGTGTTGAGTTTGAAACAATACCAACAGGCAGATCAATAAATGTTTAATAAGACAGACAGATAGGCGAAACAGTTAATAATTATTTTATATAAAAGTGCACTATTACTCTCTATACATCCATCTGTAAAGTTTACCTGAATTTTCTCAGTCACAATTGCCTTTTTCTGCATGACAGCAAATATAAACTAAATCCTTTATTGGGTAGCATTAAATATACACTATGTTATAATGCATAGAACAATGTAGTTGAATTAGGTCAATTCTGCTCCGCTCTCCCTTAAAGGAGTCATATTATGCCCTTTTTCAGGTTCACAATTTTACTTAAACTTAACGTAAACTAGAACTTACTAGAAAGGTTTTTATGTTTTAACGTTCCAAAAACACATTGTTTCTCTCATTCTGCCTAATGCTGAAGCAGCTCCCGTTTGAGCTCCCGTCTCTGTAGGGCCCTCCTTCTGAAAAGCCCAGTCTGTTCTGATTGGTCAGCTCCTACGAACTGCTGCAGCCTTCCGTATTCCACCATAGGGTTGCCGGTGTTTTGGCAGGTAGTCCCTTACTGTTACTGGGTTTAGCTGCATTTTTCGTTCAATAACTGCTTCTAAGCCAAAAACTTCACCACCAGACCTGAAATCGTAGAGAAATTAACAATCAGAATTATAGCTTTCCATGACGTTTTCTTCAGGTAAATACTGCTAATGTTATTTATATCTCTGTATGACATAATGTTCAATGGTCAACATAACTTAATGTCTAATAAAGTAATGTGCTTATGTAGTTGAAAAACTGCTCAGTAACCAACTGTGGACTGTACTGTATCCATATTTCATAGTAAGTCGGATATTTTAACTTGAAACATATGTGTTATTTGTCACACAAATGTTGCCAGATGTATGCTCGTGTATAATGCAGTGATCCATTTTAACCTCAATATTGTATCTTTTACATTATCTGTCAACATCGTAATAAAGTTTTACTGTGAACCAGAAATGTGTTGTGTTGCTTACAGTCAATATTCAATACAGGATTACTCGCAAAACTATTTCACATTTTCATAGGTGTTACTTGGACCAGGTTTTCAACCCTTCCACATGCAGGAAATTATCTACGTGTTTCATAAAACCTCTGTGAAAGAACATATTATTATCTTAAACCATACTTATTACTAAATGTAGTGTTCAGAGTTTTATTCAAATTCCAGTTACACAGAAATATAAATTGTGTGTATGTTGCAAGTAACAAAGCTATAACTTTTATGTAAACTGTGCAGATCATGTCCTCCATCAAGGTATATTTCTTGTATACTGAAAGGTCAGCTGGCAATGGTTGTATCAGTCAGTGTTAAGTGTCCTTTCCTGATGCCTCCTCCATCCTTTCTCAGATGACCTGTTAAACATGGCAGATTCAGTGTTACTTGTAAAATAGCATACAGTACAGTATAATATAATACAGCATAACCAATTTAAGGCTTCAGCAGCTCATTGTAGCTCAGGTTAGTCCTAATTTATTAAATTAAATTAAAAAATGAAGAAACGGATTACACAGGACCTTTACTATGACTGTAACTTATGTTGTGACAAACCAAAGGCTCATAAATACAGTACAAGTTCCCAGTGCAAGTGAATCCCCATTCCCTCTGAACTTTTTATATGCTTTTTTATAATAAGAGACAATGATACACTGGAAGTGCACTCTTATCGTCAATAATACTAGTACTACAGTAAGGCTAACTGTGTGGATTAGAAAACAATTCAGTTTTCACATCAGCAGGTGACCTACACATTAATGAGGAGGCTAGTTAATAAGGTCGCATATGGAAAACAAAATTGTTGATTTACCTGCTCCATGTATGTTTAACATCCAGCAAATGACGGTTCCTTTCGGTTTCTCAGAAAAAGACCTAAAATGAATCTCTGACCATGCATTTACAGAGATGGCCATTAAACTAATTAGAGCAAACATCAGCTGATCAATTGGAGAATCATAAAAAAATAATAATGACAATCTTGCAGGCGTGATTATACAATATTTTTGACATCATGTTGCATGCCAGAGGGAGGGGGGTGTCAGGCCTAAAATGGCCTGTGGGCCGGCGACCACTGTTCTAGACAGTGCCAGTGGCCAAATGTTCATCAACAAATCATTGTTAGTCATAAAGTAATGTCTCCACAGAGAGAAGAAGAGGA